GAGGGACTCATCTCAGGTTCGGCAGAGTTCTCATATTTCTGGGTCTGAGACGTTCCCATCCTAAGGCTCCCCGCTTCCTTCTTAGAATTAGGTTTGGGGTGAGCTGGGGTCTCATGTGGAGGAGAAGGGTCATGAAGGGGAGGGTTGCTCCTTGCATAGCGGGAAGTCCTCTAGGAACAGGGTACCCAAAGCCTTGCTGAGATTCCCCACCATCTCCGGTCTGTACATGCCAGGCTGACTATATCTGTCCCTGAACAGTCAGAATGGAATGTTCCGAGGACGGAACTTGGGTCTCCCCTCCCCCTCTCCCCTAACTGGCCTGTGGGCTGGGGGAGGGGGAGAGGGTGCTGCTTAAACTACTCCTCTTATGGTGATTCTATGGGGGGACCTGGCTATCCCTGCCAAGAGCCTGAGGTCCTCCCCTTGTCCCTCCCTCCCATACTTGTCTCTTCATCTGGTCTGACTCCCAGCCACTGCCGGGGTGTAACCCAGGATCTGAGAATGGGAAAGGAGTTTGAGGGGGCACTAGTTAGGAACAGAGCCCTTCCCCCATTATGCACAACTAAGACGTGGGAAGGGATCACTCAAGATATGATGAGCCTGGCTCCTGACCCTGGTTTGGAGTTCAAATCCCTGGGGGGCATTTTCAAATTGGGCAAAGTGCTTAGAGATCCTAGGATTAAAGATGCCAAGTAGCCTGACTCAGCCTGAATCAGCCACCCCAGAGGCCCAGCCTGCCCAGCCCTACTTGGCCCAAGCCACAGGAAACCCCCGAGTCAGCTTCCTTGGGTGGCTGCCTCAGACTCAGCATCTTTAGACCAGCTCCACCATCGCCTCTCCCAAGAGTCTCAGCCCTTAGTGTCCTGGTGATACAGCTCTGGTGGTGGTGGGGGAGGTGGAGAATGGCAAGTGGGGAAAAGGCAGAGAGAGGGAGGGAGCAGACTGTTTGGACTTGATTCTTCCACTAACTTGCTGTGTGAACCTCAGTTTCCTCTTCTGCAAAATGAGGGGGTTGGACTATATGAGCCCCAAAGTCTTCTCTAGCACTAAAATACTGGGATTCCTATGGTTCCCTTCTCTCCCCAGTAGCTCTGGGGAGTCAGGCTACCTGAGTCTATCTTGGAGTTCATCCAGGGCCCCAAACCTTAGGGCCTGGTCAGCAGGGTCAGTGGGTGGAGGGCTGGCAGCTTCCTGTTATTTCTGCCTCATGCTCGTACACGGCCCTTTGGGTAGGGAGGGGAGAAGTGGGTGGCGGTGTACTGCAAGTGTGGAGGGAAGAAGCAGGAAGAGCAGACTTCCTTGCAGATAAAAAATGGATCTCTCAATGTCTTCCCATAGTCCACATTCCCCTTGGGTCCTTCCTTCCTTAGGTTCTGAGAGGATCCCCAGGGTAGAGATTGTCTCCCTCTCAGATGCAGGATCCTGAAGGCTGGATCCCCTCCCCACCTTCCATTTAGGGCACTGTGTTAGGAGCTGGGCCAGACTGGGTTTTCCTTCTTCTCCCCCTCCTCCCACTATGTCTTTGGGATCCCCCATTATAGGGTGAGTGGCCAGTTCTCAATGGATAATAGAGCTGGAAATTTCTAGATTTTTAAGCCAAGAGAAGCTAGTGTTTAGGGGAGCCTGGGCAGAGTGAATTTTGCCCCCTTTCCGGGGGGCATCACCCCTAAGTAATGACTGCCTAATCTGTGTGATGGGGTCGGGGTGACCTAGACGTAGGACAATTCCAGTGTTGTACCAGTGGGACTGGGATACCTGGGGAGAGTTGAGGGAAGGACTAGGATTTGGGGGGCAGTCGAAGGAAGGAATCTTGGTCTCAGAGTCCCCTAATGTTCTGTCTCCCCATTGGTAGAACCTCAAAGATGGAGACTAGGAGTGCCACATTGCCCCCTGGTGGTTCTGTCTAGCCTTGCAATCTCTTTTCTAAATTCAAGGATCCAAAGGCCCACCAACTTGTCTCTCTTGCCTTCCATTTCCCAGGTGCTGCTTGATGAAAAGGAACATTCCTAGGGTAAAAGCATTTCAGAAGGATCTTAGTTTGTAGGGTTAGAAGGGACCTTAAAGGTCACATGATCCAGATTCCTTATTTTGACAGATGAGGAAACTGAGACCCTGAAAGAGGAAATGACTTGTTCTGAGTTACACGGGTATTATTGGCGGAACAGCCATTCCAACCCAGGTTCTCAGACTCCAGCTTCAGTGTTCTTCCTACTATACAAAGACATTTCTTTAGGACACCACAGACTCATAGGAGGTTGGAATTTTTGAGAAGGAGGGACTCCTGGAGCTCACCTATTTGAATATGAGTGCCACAGGGGCAGGGACCATCAGCTCCTCAGCTCCTATCCTTGTATGTTCTGGGTCCTTAATAGGTGATTATTTAATCGTCTGCAGTCCGACTCCCTCAATCTATAACTAAAATCCAGAGAAAGAAGTGATTTGTCACAAGTTAGTGGCAGAACCTGGCAGCTGACTCCCAGAGCCATTGTGATGCTTGCTACACCCTAGGCCCTAAAGAGGAAGGAACCCAGAGAGTAGACCTACATGGGCTGGGCCCCAAAGGGCAGAATCAGGGTAGCACTGTAGAGATGGATTAGGCCTCGAGGAAAGGATGAAAACCATCCCAAAGTCTACCATCCTTGGGAGGGTGTAGGCTTGAGACCCCTGAAGGTGTTTAAGGTATTTAAGCAAAGGCTAGCTGGACCCTTGGGTATGTCACAAAAAGCATTCTAGCCCTCGAGGTCCCTTTCCTCCATGAGATTCTGGATGAGAGAAGAAGGGGAGACACCAATCCTGAGCTGGGAGACCCTGCATGGGTTCTGGTAGGGAAAGAGGGAGACTCCCGAGGCAGAGGGGGTGTGGGTAGCTGGAAGGTTGGGGGATGGGTCTCTAATTCTCAAACCCTGCCAAGAGAAGAGGCTATAACATCTCCGCAGCATACCTTCACCTTCTCTTTCTGAGTTCCCAGTTCTCCCAAGAATCTAGAAATTCTCTTTCGATGTCCATCTGCAGTCCCTTCTGTGATAGCAACCGACCTAAACTCATTTTGCTCTGTTTTGTGCCTAATCTAGACCCTGCCTGGAAGACCAGTGCTGTCCCTTCACCAGCGACCTTGCTGAGGCTGGAAAGACTCGTCTTTCCTTTCTAGCCACCAGTGTTACAGGACTGGCTCTGTGGGGTTCAGAGTGAGGGTAATAGGCAGGCAGGGCTGCTCTGCACCCCTGGAACTGGAATCCAGCAGGCCAAGGCGGCACCAGAAGGTGAAAAGGGCTGTCATGTGTCTTGGGGGGATATGGCAGCACAGTTCAAGCCACAGTTGACCTTCAGTGGTTGATCAGCCCAGGGACTGAGTGGCCCCTATGCTGTGGGCAAAGCCCTGGGCTGCATGCTGGAGAAAACCTAGGACCCCTGCACACTTGGAATCTCCCCAGTCAGGAGAGGAGGAGGGAGGGAAGGTGGTTTCATGAGGGCATCAGAAAGGAAAAGTACTATCTACATCCTGGGAGAAACAAAACCCTAGATCCAGGACAGAAAAAGAGACAAGTTCAGTTGTGTGGACAGAGAGCCTGCTCTGAGAGGCTACGGGGATGGGTGGTATAAGGAAGACAGATCTCTGATGCTAGCTATGGCCTCAGGCAAGTAAGTCCTTTACTCTTTCTCAGCCTCAGTTTCCTCATCTGTAAAATGAAGAGGTTAGACTAGATGGAGGACTGCTGAGTCTCTTCCTGCCTGTGATGAGGGTGAGACCAGATGCTCTAAGGCAGGGCACTGTACCCAAAGACAGATGGGGCTGAATGGAGTCTGGCAGGGTGACATGGGAATGCCACCTACTTATAGGATCATCACTCTACAGCTGAAAGGGACCCCAGAGAGCATCAGATCCAAAGCCTCTCATTTTACTGAGTCAACCAACCCAGAGAAAAGCTAAAGAGCTTACCTAAAATCACACAGGTGGAAGTACCAGGATTTGAAACCAGTCCTCTGAATTTAAACCCACAGCTCTTTCTATACAACAGCTCAGAGGCAGCCTTGACAAGGAGTGCTACTTGTGTGTCCCATGGCCTAACCAGGGGTGGGGACCTTGAGGCCTCGATTTGTTCTGTGAAGTTTGGATTCAGTCAAAGGCCACACCTGAGGACCCAGAGGGCCATATGTGGCCTCAAGGCTGAAGGTTCCCCACCCCTGGAACCCATCCAATACACATTTATTAAGTGCCTACTGATGCAAGGTACTGGGCTTGACACTAAGAATATAAATTTTCTTTAAAAAAAAAAAAAAACAACAAAAAAATAAAACCACAGCCTGCCCCCTGACTAGACTGTAAGCTCTCTGGAAGCAGGGATCTTAATCAGACCTTTTACTTCCCCTGGTATCAAGCACAGAGCTCTGCACACAGTGGGTGTTTCACATGTTTGTTGAATATGCAAGGGCCACAAGTAACTCTGAGCAAGTCTCTGATACCTCCCTCCCCATACCTGGTTCTGGATCCTTTTGAAACCAGTTTCACCCTTCCCCCATCCCCACCCTATAAGAATCTGGCTAAAAAATTGCTTAGGGAGAAATGCCTCTATTCAGAGAAGGGGCCACTGTTAGCGTGTGCAGTGGAGGCCAGGGTTTTATCAAGCCAGGCCACTGTCTCAGCCTGGAGAGCTCATATGGATCATTGCAGTGGGGTCAGCAGAAGCTGTGCCCCCAAATGGGGCTTTGCCAGAGCCAAGGCTGCTGCTCGTCCTTAGCATCACACAAAGGGATCTAAGCTTGGGATGGGGAAGGGGGCACTGGAGCAGACTCCCTTGGGAAGGTGAACACAGGAGCTGGGACCAACAGAAGGGACGGCTGCAAGCTGCTCTATTTGCTTGGGAAGGCCCCTAAGACAGAAGTACAAGGACCCCTGAAGGACCTCATGTGCCTCCTGAGAGCCTGAATCACTTAGGTCCAAAAGTGACTTAGCCTACCACCAGTATGGGATATGAAGTTGGTGCTAAGGCTCAAAAACCAACCTCAGGAAAGTCAGTCCTGGAGTCTGGGTCTCAGTTTTCTCATCTGTAAAATGAGAAAGGATTGATCAGATGAGGCCTAAAGTCTCCTTTCCAGCTCTAATGTTCTAAAGTCACTCCCTGCTCTTTCATTCCGTAGTCTAAGGTAATCAAAAATCTTTCATGTTTAAAATCTTGTACCCATAAGAAGCAGACTTATGCCATCTAGTGTCAGTTTGAGGAGGGCCCACCAGTCAACTCCCTGGGCCTCCAGAAGGTGATTGGGGTGAAAGCTCAGAGAAGTATGTTGCAAAAGGAAGTAGGCTTTGGAAGGGCTCTGAATCAGATGGGATAAGTCTCCTGAACTTGAGATGGGGTTTAGGGGAGAAAAGAGTGAGCTAGTGGTAGGAGAGTTAGTCTCTGGAAACTAGAGAAATAATAATGAGGCAGGGAGATAAAATGGGCTTCAAACCAGAAGAGCCAGATTCCATTTGCTAGGACCAAGCACATCAGTTTCCCTCCCTGAGCCTCACTTTCCTCATTTATAAAACAGAGATGCCTGAACACTTCACAAAGCCCCAGTATTGTGGATGGAGAACTAGAGTTAGAGTTTGGAAATAATGCATTCAAACTTGACCACCAACTCTATATGTTCATGCCTCTAATCACCTCTCATCACTCTCCTCCTACCTGAGTAGATCCCATCACTATTTATGTGACCTTGGACAAATCATTTGATCTCACTTGGCCTCAGTTTCTCCATTTGTAAAAAGAGGGAGTTGAACTGCATGACTTCAAGGTCCCTTCCAGTTCTACAGATCTGATGACCCCATGACATCTCTCACATAGGGTTGTTCTATGAAAGGCATTTTGCAGATCCCAGAAGACATGTGTTATTATGTAACCTTTCAAGGTGAGAAAGGAAAGGAAGGAGCTACAAATGGCAGTGCCAGGAGAGCGTGCCAGAGTTAACCTGAAACCTGACGGCAGAGCAAGGGGTGGAGACAGCTGCTCAGTGTCCACTGCATAGATATAATTTTTCTCAGATGAGCTCTGTCCCAGTAATCCTGGGGCACAAAACTCTCCCTTTAATCCGGCCTAAGCTGATTAACAAACAAATCCTGGAGAAAGGGAGGATGGATGCCGGGCAAACCACTTTATACCATTAAGGGAAAACCTCTGGAGGAGATGATGATCACTCTTTCCCACTCCTCTTCCCTACTGGGGGATTAGAAAATTAGAATGTCAGATGTGGCAAGGAGCTTGCAGATTATCCAATCCAACCCCTTCATTTTGCAGAACACAGTGAAACTCAGACAGGAGAAGTGATTTTATAGAATTATTTCAGAGCAGCAAAGGGCTTCAGAACATAGCAGGTTAGAATTTGAAGCATTTAGCAGGTGAGGAAACAGAGGCTCAGAGAGGCTGAACCACTTGGAGAGGTCAAGCAGCTAGCACCAAACAGAGAGCCAAGATTTGAGCCCAGGTCTTCTGATAGAAAAGCTCACGCCTTTAGTTTGCCTTCATCCTGTGTGCTATTGCACACCCTCCCAGCCCCCCTGGCGGATGGGACAAGAGACAGGCCTAGAAAGTGTCTTGTCCAAGGTATTCAGTCTCTTCCCCTCCCCCCCCAAGGGGCTCACCTCTTTGCCTCCAAACCCCATATCAGCTCAGTATGCCGAAGATGATAGTCGGAGGAGAGGCTGGCCATGAAGGTTCAAGGCCCCCACCTAGGACAGTGAATGCAGGGAGCTTTTCGGGTCTGACTCTGAGTCAGTCACCCCAGCAGGCCCTCACTCAGCTTCTCCTGCCAGAGGATGCCAGCTCTGTGCCGCGCTCATCCTCTGCTGGAAGTTACCAGGCAGCAGAGCTCAGAGCAAGGGGGCCCAAGAGAATTGACAAAGGCCCCAGGACCTGGCTCAGGTGCAAGCCAGCGGCATAGTCGCAGCCCCAGGCAGCTTTAAAACAACACCCCAGGGCCTGCCCAGGCCTGGGGCACTTGGGAAAGAGGATCAGAAGACAGTAACAACAGGAGAAAGCAGAAGCGGGGAGGAGGGGGCCCTTAACTAGGACATCAGAACACCTGGATTTTAGTCCCAATTCTACCATGAAGTGGTTGGAATGACCTTGGAAAAGCCTTTCCCCCCACTCTGGGCCTGTTTCTTCCCTGTACATAAACATCTCACTTTTCTGCAGCATTTTTATGTTTGCCAAGTGCTTTCTTCATTATCGTGCCCATGAGGTAGGTAGTGGAAATCTCAGACCAGGGCAGTGACTCGCTCAAGGTCACTCATCTAGCAAAGAGCAGAGCTAAACCCCGAATAGGCTGGATGGGCTCTGATCTTCTACCGGCTCCCTGGGAGCCCTCTCTTTCCCCTAACCAAAGCCCTTTGAGGGCTCTTTTGAGGATCTGAGTGGTGCCAGAAATCTAGATCCATTTTCCAGCTTCTTGGGACTCTGGGGAAGCGCATTTGGACACAGGGTAGATTTAAGAGTATAAAGGCTGCCCTGAATATCTCCTGGAGGTGGGACACAGATAGGAGGACGAAGTACTGAAGCCGGGACCCCCAAATACCAAGCCGGGCTGCCCAAAACATACATTTCTGCAACTCTGGGACCACACCCACCTCATTTTGCCCCTCCGCAAAATGGAGGCCCATCGCTCACCAACCCCATTCTTCCGCAGTCCAGTCCGGGAGAGGAAGCCTCGGGGGGAGGGAGGGGAACAGGCCCAGGGCCCACAGCTTTATTGCGGTTCTGAGAGTTGCCTCCCGCTGAGAGGGGAGGAAATCAGGGGGAAAGGGGCCCGCCAGATGCCCCACCCAGAGAAACTCGCTTAGTCGTGCTTGTTCCGCTCAGGGCGCCCGCGGTCCCCGCAGTGTCCGCCCGGCCGCTGTGTCCATCCATTGGCTCCAGCTGGCGTCCATCCGCCGCGGCGGCTCCCTCCTCCTCCGCGGCCTCAGTGCTGGGGGGAGGCCGGGCCTCGGGGTGGGCTCCGGCGGAAGGGGGAGTCAGGCTCGGGGGAGGCGGCTGCGGCGGCGGGCCCGGCCCCGGCCCTCCGCAGGCGGCCGGCGGCCCAGGGCACGCAGCCTCCCAGGCCCAGGGCCGAGGCGAGCAGGGCGGGCGGGCGGGGCCGCTTGCCGCGCCTCAGCCCCTTCTTGGCCCGCTGCCCGTGGGCAGCCAGGTAGAGCTCGGCTTGGGAGACGCTGCCGCCCAGGCGGCTCAGGCTCTCGGCGCGGTGCGCCAGGCGCAGCTCGGCTGCCAGGAAGACGCGATGGAGATGCTGCACCCGGCTCTCCAGCTCCGACACCACCCGCCGCCTGCCTTCCACCTCCAGCAGCCGCCGCCGGGCTTCAGCCAGCTCCAGCGCCCGACTGCCCGCCGCTGCCGCGCCCGCCGCACCGTGCCCACCGGGCCGCCAGCGCTGCAGCTCCAAACCGCGCCCCGCGCCCTTCTCCGCGGTCGCTGTCTCGGTCGTGGTCCCAGGGGCTGCGGGCTGGGGCTGCGGAGGGGGCTGAGGAGGTGGTGACGAAGGTGGGGAGCCCGGCTCATCCGCAGGGTCCGAAGAAGCCAGAGAGGAAGGCGGGGGAAAGGAGAGGGGAGTGGGAGGGGGCGGCGGCTCCCCCGGGCGGGGCGCTGCGCCGCAGGCGCTGATGCGGCACCCTGGCATCCCGCCGCCCCCCGGCTGGACTCCCTCGGGAGAAAGCTGCAGCGGAGACTCCGCTGGGAACCTAAGCTAGGACCACGGAAAGCGACTGCGCCCCGGCAGACCTTCCTCCGAGGAACGAGCTCCAAGGGGCCTCTTATAGTGAGCGAGGACGGGGCGGAGCGATGGGCAGCAGAGCCAATAAAAGAGGTCGCAGGGCCCCGGGACCACCTCCTCTGCCCTGAGCCCCGCCATGCTTGCGCTCCTTAGACCCGGTCCTTTTGCCCCCAGTCCCTTAGTCGCATCTCTACCTCCGCTCCCGGTGCCCGCCCCGCCCGGCTACCCCATCTCCCTTCCCATTCCTTTCCATCCTTCACCAAAATTCAGTCGATTTTCCTAGGACTGTTACAAGTTCCAGTAGTCCGTGTTTAGAAGTCTACTTCACTTCTGACATTGTAATATTCCAAAAGCCCCCCTCCCCGCTCTGGCATTTTATGTTCTAACGTTCTGTGTTTCAACATTATAACGCCCTTACGACTCCGACATTCGAGGAGGCTCTAAAGCCCCATCCAGGCCTAACATTCTGTGTTCTAAGAGCTTCCCAGCTCTGACATTCTAGATTCTGAATTTGGAGGAAGTTCTCCCAGGGCTTGTGACCTCATACCTGGTAAGGTTGGGGAAGTAGGCAGAGGTGCTCCCCTTCTCATGCTTGAGTAACCTGGTCCCATTTGGGAAAAGGTGAATGGGAAAGGATCAATACCTCTCTGCTGTCGTCCTGCAGGATCTACAGTCAAGTTATCCTGTGTCCCTGAATTGGGCTGGTTCAAGGATATTCTACTTTTGGCAGCCTCCCCTCCCCTCAAAGCCAAGTCTGGAGCCGTTGCTCCAGCCAGGTGACGGTGCGATCTCCAACAAACACTCAGCCCTTGGTAACAGAAAGCATGGCACCGGAGTTAAGATGCCAATCCTACTGGGTCACTTTCTCTCTTCTGCCACTGCATCCTTGTGAAGATCCTGGCGTGTCAGGGGAAGAGGGACGCTTCCCTTCCCAATCACCCCACCATTTTTAGTGTTCTCAGGAGATAGAGGCTCCCACGGAGAAGGGGAACCAAATGGCAGACAATGGCCCAGATACCCCAATCAGATCTCAGTTTACCCATTTCTCTAGGAATCCTAGGGAATGGATGGCTCTAGGGTAGATAGGAGTGAGATTTAGAGGGATGATATGTAGAGATTAGACCTGGGTGGGGAACCTGTGGCCTTTTTTTTAAGAGGATTTGTTCTGTGAAGTTTGGATTCAGTCAAAGGGCCGCACTTGAGGACGGAGAGGGCCACTTCAGCCCTAGAGGGCTGAAGGTTCCCCACCCCTAGACTAGACCTAGGGACCTCCAGGATAAAGAAACCCCCTCTACCAATATAGGTCAGCACCTCTGCAACTAATGAGCTTAGAGTTACCTAAAGCACTGAGAGATTCAATGACTTGCCCAGGGTCTTACAGTTAGTAAGTATTAGAGACTGAGGCCTCTAATACTGAGGTCTTCCTGGTTCTGTGACCAGTTCTCTATCCACTGTGGCATGATACCTCTTTCTCCAAGAGGCTAGATCTGAGTTGTGAGACCAGAAAACCAATATACAGAGCATAGAGTTTGTTGACATTGGCAAAGCTATTCAAAAGATAAATATTAAGTGTTTATTGTATGCAAGTTGCTATGATGGTTCTGAGAATACTTCAAAAATGAAGCATCACCTGCCTCCAAGGATACCTAACCAGGTGGGGCACACTAAGAGGTCAAGCCACTCTTAAGGAGCTTTATCCCCTGATCATGGAGGCTTTATGGAAAATAGGTATAAGAATAAGCCTGCATATGTTTAGCAAGCCTTTATTGTGATGATCAAAGTGCTTTTGCATACATCATCTCACGACTTGATGTCTCTGCATGGAAAGATTTCTGAACTGGAATCATAGAGTCTGAGAGATGGAAGGTCCTTAGGCTTCCATGTCGTCCACTCTATACCCCAAAGCAATCTCACTATAGAATACCCAGCAAGTGGTCATCCAGCCTCTTCCTAAAGACCTCCCGTGAGGAGGAACCCATTGCCTCCCAAGGCAGCTCATTATGCTTCTGGGCAGCTCTATTAATTAAGAATTTTGTCCTGACACTAAGCCTAATATCTAATTTGCAGCTTCTAACCACGGCTCCTGGCTCTGCCCTCTGGGACCAGAACAATTCTCATCCCTGCCTCATCTGATAGCCCTTCAGATACTTGAAGACAGTGATCATGTCCTTCCTGAGTCTTCTCTTTCTGGGCTAATGACCTGTCAAGATCTCTGAAAACTGGTTTCAGTGTCTTCAGTTGAGAGACTGGGACTCAGTGAGGATATAGGAACTAAGGAAGGGGGATGAGTGCTCCGTGTGTGGGATGGGGACTCACTGAAGACCTGGGGGCTCGATGAAAAGACAGAGGTTCAGGGAGGGAGACAGAGGCTCACTGTGGGAGGTAAGGGCTCAGTATATAGGATGGGGGCTCACTGAGGATCTAGGAGTCCAATGATAGGATGACAGTTGAGGCAGGGGCTCTGATGGTCAGCCATAAAGGTAGGGGCTCAGTGACGGGGGGTGACATACACAACATGTGGGATGGAGGATTAATGAGGGAATAGGATTTCTGCGAGGATTTGGAGCTCCGTGAGGGGATGAGGTCTCAGCAGGATGTATAGGAAGACAGATAAGTCTTCGAGGAGCTGAAGGTTCATTATTTGGTGGCCACAGGCAGATTTGGATGTGGTTTTCTATTCAGTACGCCTTCTTCTTTGAGCATAAACAAATCACGTCTCTCTCCTGGAGTGAGTTGAATGACAAGTGCTGCCTGTGAGTCAGACAGTTATTTCCATCCTACTCAGGGTTGGAGCTTTTGGGGGGAGGGATTGGGATGAAGGATAGAGAATCGGGGAGAATAGAGGCTTCTCAAGGAGAATGAGCATACAGAACGGGGAATAATAGAACTCACATACATAGATGCATGGAGGTTTGCAAAGCCCTTTAATATATTAATCATTTGATCCTCATTACAACCCTTTGAGGTTATCACCATTTTACAGATGAGGAAACTGAAACAGATTAAGTGACTTGCCAAGGGTCACATAGCTACTAAGCATGTGAGGTGGAGTTTGAACTCATATTTTCTTGATCTAGGCACTGTGCTCAATCTCCTACACCAAAATGCCTCTTATCGCAATGAGAGTTTAGTGAAGCATCTAGGGGCTTAAAGAGACTTGTTGGGGAAAGGTGGGGATTAGTGAGGGGAGTAGGGTGAGAGCTCAGTATATGAGCTGGGGACTCAAGGGCCTAAGAGCCCAATGAGGGGATTGAGACTCCAACTCTTTCCTCCTCCCATTCAGGAAAAAAGTCCCAGAGATATTCTGAGGTCTTGGGAGAAATAGAGAGTGTGGAGGAATCATGTCAGTCAGCCACCTTTAGAGTGAAGATGTGGCTCGGGACCAGTCTCTTCTTGTGAGTGAGAGACCTGCCTCTCTTCTTTAGTTCCACAGGCCAGGGTAAAACCATCTTCCCTAGCTTGGGAGTCAGTTTCGAGTATCAGAAATTCCCCTGTACCTCCATCCCCAGCTTAGCTATGTCTCCTCTAGTGAGGGATGGGGTGGGGAGGAGCCTAGCAGGAGTCTGGGGAGGTCCTGTACCTCCCTCCTCTTGACATCCTCCCTCAACAATCTTCGGTGGGCATGCTGGTGACATCCAGAACTGGCATGGGAGTGGGAATGAACTGAGATAAAGACAAGTGGAGAGTGGTAGACTGAGGAAACTGAAGAGATGGGGGAGTAGACTGGGGACACGTGAGGAGGGAGGTTGGAAGCCTGGAGAAGCCCAAAGGACAGTCACCACCCCAGGAAGAGTTAAGAGGCTAGGGTGGGGAGGTCAAATACTGAATATGGAGGTAAGGGACATCATATGTCCAGTCATGGAATCTGTCTGGAGGGAGAGGGAGGGAAAGAGAAGGCTTGAGAAGCATGCTTCTGGAGACCCAGGTCACCAGCCTCCCTGAGGTATCCCACATGAGCCAGAGAGGAATACACACATCCCAGCCTTCTTTAATTCTCTCACTGTGGCTGTCATCCCAGGGTGATCTGGGACTCTTCCATCCAAGGAAGGTAATACTGTTGCCTCTTGGGTAGGTTCAGAGTGAAGTGTGTTTCCTTTGCTCAAAAACTACCCTGCCCAAGCCACAAGGTGGTGGGAGAGGGGGCTCCACAGGTAAGTTTCTCATGTAACTAAATCTGGGGCTTCTTCTCCTACCACTTCTGGTTCTCTGATTTTTGTCTCTTTCCCTCTTCATTGTTTACCCCCCACCTCCTTTGACCATGGAACTCCCCCTTCCCTTTATTCACTAGGGCTCTCAGTCAAGATTAGATTCAGGGATGGACCTAGGGATTGCTGGAGAGGGGGAGGGTGTTCTGGAGGGAATTCAGGGGGAATCTTAGGAGATGGAGATTTGGGTCCCTTAAATCATGGGGTAGGTGAATTAGATGGTCTCTAAGGTCCTTTGAAGTTCTAATATTCTCTATTTAAAAGTCCTTTCAGCTTAGACATTCTATGTTCTAAGGTTCAAGGTCATTCCCAATTCCAACATTTTAAAACTCTAAGATTCCAATTTTTTAGATTCTAAGACTCCCTCCATCCTCCACCTGCCTCGGGCTGCACTTCTTGGGCAAGCTATCTATCTGTAACTGAGTGGGGAATGAGGATCTCAGGTCACTGACCTACTACTATGTAATAATAATAATCTCTCCATCCTGTGTGTAATCTATCCTTGCTTTCTCCATTCCCAGAGGACGAGGAGGTATTTCAATAATACTAGCTAGTATTTATACAGAGACTTAACATTTGCAAAATACTTTAGAAATATTATCTCATTTGATCCTCACAACATCCCTGAGAGGCAAATGCTATTATTATTCCCATTTTATAGTTGAGGAAACCAAGGCAGACAGAAGGTAAGTGACATGCCCA